CTGGCCGTCTCAGTGATCCGCCGTAAAACAGTGATTCTGTCCTAATTCCCTTGCATATCAATGGTGGAGTTCCCTTTAAAATCTTAAATGATTCCCTTTGAGCTAAATTATTAAATTATTAAATTATCACTGTTTACCCTACATTATCAATGCAGTCCTCCATCCTTGGCAAAGGGAAACAATCTGGTACTGTTACAGAATTCACTCAACGATAATCGGTACAAAATCGAACCGTTCCATCAGCTTTAGGAACTAAAATAGATGGAGAGCTCCATGAACTAACACTGGGCTTTGCAAGACCCTCCTGCAACAAATATTAAACCTCTTTGTTCATTGCAGCCCTCTTTGCAGCATTCACCCGATAGGGGTGTTGCTTAGTAGGAGCAACATCCCGAACAGTGATGTCATGGTAAAGTACGTCAGTTTGCTTGGGTACATCTCCAAATATCTGAGGAAAACTCTGAATTAGGGTTACAATGTCTGTACACTGCTTTTCTGTCAAATGACACAGCAACTTAAAAGGATCAGTTAAAATCTCAGAATTAGATAATGGTGTAAAAGGCAACGGATCACCCTGTAATCTCACCTCATCAACATCATACTCCACATCACAAGGAAATTATGGTTCTGACTCATAACCATAGGTGAAACCACGGGCCCCGTATTCTCCTCTGAACAGTGAGATGCTTCTTCCCTGGAATGGTAAGCTTTAAGCATATTAATATGACACGTACGTTTTTGTCTCTTACGGTCAGGTGTGTTAATGATGTAATCAGTGTCACTTCTTTTACCCACTACCTCATAAGGACCAACAAAACGTGCAGACAACGCAGACCCTGGAATTGGTAGTAACACAAGTACCTTGTCACCCACTGAAAATGAACGAGACACTGCTGTTTTATCAAAATGTCGTTTCATGCTAGACTGAGCTTCAGCAAGAACTTCTTTAGCACACGCACAGGCTTCCTGTACTCGTTCACGAAAACGGGCCACATAATCAAGAATGTTCTTTGTAGGACTTAAACTGTTGTCAAGACCCAGCATTTGTTCCTTAAGAACTGTCAGTGGTCCTCGGACACTATGTCCAAACACCAGTTCAGTTGGACTAAACTGCAGAGACTCCTGAGTAGTTTCACGAATAGCAAAAAGAACAAATGGCACACCCTCGTCCCATTCGTTACCTGTCTCCCAGCAGTACTTCTTTAACATAGCCTTAAGTGTCTGGTGAAATCTCTCAAGCACACCCTCACTCTCAGGATGATATGGACTGGAAGTACGATGACTGATACCCAGCGAACACAAGGTTTGAGTGAACAACTTGGACATAAAATTTGTGCCTTGATCGGTTTGTACTATCTTGGGCAGACCAAAAGTTTAAAAAAAATTTGACCAATGCCTTAATGACTGCGTTGGAGGTAATTTTTCGCAAAGGCACTGCTTCTGGGAATCGAGTTGCGACACACATTTAGGCAGTGGTCCTACACAGTCCACGATCACAAGACTCACCGAGCACTGGGATTGGAACTAACGGTGTGGGAGGAATAACTTGATTTGGTTTCCCAATGACTTGACAGGTAGGGCATGTACAACAAGAAACTGCAACATCCTTTTTCACCCTAGACCAAAAGAAGGCTGTAGAGAGCTTGGGTGTTATTTTAAAACATGCACAGTGTGTGCACTCCTTCCAATGTTAAGATTTCTAAAAACTTTTTTTTTAATGGAAAGTACTTAGCATTTATTATCAGGTTATGAGCAAGTGTACCCAGTTTTCCCTGTGGCAGAGTCAGAGTACTGCAGGTATTTGGAAATCTAAGCATTTCTCACCAAATAACTTTCTGCCAACATTTGAGCATTCAGATGTTTTACTGGACATTTTAGTCAGAGGAGCTGCGTTCCTATATAAGCGCTTCAGGCAACGCAAGCGAGGGAAGCGTGCCGGCGCGCTCGTGAAATTCCGACAGCGTGGTTTTAGGACTCCGCTGCCGAACATTCATCTGGCGAATCTCCGCTCCCTAGCAAATAAATCAGACAAACTACAACTCCTCAACCGCACAAACAAGGCTTCCAGTTGTTCAGAGCAGACCACGTCACCGAGTCGTTGGTGAAAACGAGAGGCGGTGGATTATGTTTTTATATCAATGAAGGCTGGTGTACAGACGTGACAGTTGTAAAGAAGATGTGCTGCCCAAATTTGGAAGCTCTCTTCATTAACTGTAAGCCTTTTTATTCACCATGGGAGTTTTCCTCGTTTATTCTGGTGAGTGTGTACATTCCTCCTGATGCGCGTGTGAGCGCCGCGCTAGAACTGTTGGCCGATTAGATCACACACACAGAGCAGCGTTATCTGGACTCTTTCATTATCATTCTCTGTGATTTTAATAAAGCTAATCTCACCAGTGAACTGCCTAAATATAGACAGAACATCACATGCCCCACCAGGGACAGCAATATACTGGACCACTGCTACAGAGAAAAATAGTTTATCAGTCTGGCGAGTAAACAAAAAAATGTACTAGCGAATGGCGATTATATTGCCAAGGTGTGCGTAGAGGGTTGTTCTACCAGCCTACAGGCAGAAACTCAAATCTGCTAAGCCTGTAGTAAAAACTGTAAAGAGATGGACTGCTGAAGCAGAGCAGGATTTACAGGCCTGCTTCGAACTTATTGATTGGAGTGTTTTCGAGGCTACAGTTACTGATCTGGATGAGCTCACTAACACCGTGACATCCTACATCAGTTTCTGTGAGGACATGTGTGTTCCCACCAGGACTTATTTATCATTTAACAATGACAAACCTTGATTCAGTGCAAAACTCAAACAGCTTCGCCAGGCCAAAGAGGATGCCTACAGGAGTGGGGACAAAGACTTGTACAAACAGGCCAAATACACACTGAATAGGGAGATAAGAGTGGCAAAGTTAAGCTACTCTGAAAAGTCAAAAAAACTGCTTTAGTAATGACTCTACATCAGTGTGGAAAGGCCTGAAAGCCATCACCAGCTACAAGACCCCATCTCCCCAGCACTGAGGCCAATTAACAACTGGCTGAAGACCTGAACGAGTTTTACTGTAGGTTTAAAAAGCAAAAGACTGGTCTGACACCCCACACCCACTCCGACTGTCTCACAGCACAGCCATTAACACCCTCCCCCTACTGTTTCTCAGCCTGCCTTCAAGATCTGTGAAGAGGATGTATGCAAAGCCTTCAGAAAGCAGAAGATAAGGAAAGCCAAAGGCCCAGACGGTGTCTCTCCAGCCTGCCTCAAAGCCTGTGCTGTCCAGCTATCATCCATCTTCACATTGATCTTCAACAGATCCCTGGAGCTGTGTGTAGTCCCCTCCTGCTTCAAATGTTCCACCATCAACCCTGTACCCAAGAAACCAAAAATCACAGGACTTAATGACTACAGACCTGTTGCTTTAACATCTGTGGTCATTAAGTCATTTGAGAGACTGGAGTTGGCCTACTTGAAGGACATTACTGGACCCTTGCTGGACCCCCTGCAGTTAGCTTACTGAGCAAACAGGTCTGTGGATGATGCAGTCAATATGGGATTGCACTACATCCTCCAACAT